CGTCAAATTTTTGGGCTCAAACGGTTCTCCTGTCTCAGCCTCCCAAGTACTTGAGACTACAGGTACCTGCCCTGATGCCCAGCTAATTTTTCTATTTTTAGTAGAGAGGGGCGTCTCGCTCTTGCTCAGGCTGGTCTTGAACTCCTGTGCTCAAGCGATCCTACCAGAGTGCTAGGATTATAGCTGTAAGCCATCGCGCCTGGCCCACCAGACTGTCTTGATCATGATAGTTTTATGTTAAGTCTTGAATATACACCATGCTGGAGGAATGTAGAGGATTCTGAATAAAATCAAGTATATTATTTGTTTCATTTGCACAGAGCTATATTATTATAACTTTAAAAAATAAAATAAAAATACTTATTGTAAAAAAAAGTCCACTGTCTTTAATATATAAACACACCTAATGTATTTATTTATAAATGGCATAATATTCTAATACTATTCTCTCTCCATTCTTGTGGTTTTTGTCAATATTTATGTGTCTTTATATGATATTTAAGTCATTCACAATTTTTCACTGTTCAAACAATGGTACAAAAAACATCTTTTTCTCCTTATTTGGTAAGGACTTCCCACCCCAGAACTAGGGTTCCCATTCCTTTCTTAGCCCCTTTTCTTCCTAGACTGGGCATTATTTCAACTATCTTGCATCTTTAGTCTCTCCCTCTCTTTGATCCTTTAGTCTAAAACGAGCTCTGCCTCCTCCATCAATAAATTCCCTCTCCTTCAAGCCTCTATGTAAACTTTGGACAGGTCTATACTCTCCACTTCCTCCTTTCCCGTTCACGTCATGCTTCCCTGCCGTCTGAATTTCACCTTACCCATTCTACCAAAGATCCAACGGTGACATTGACCTCAGCTACCAAACCAGTGGTCCTTAGATTCTATGGAATCCTTGTTCCCGCCTTACCTCTCCAGGGTATTCCGCTGTAGAAGTTCTATCAAGGACTTCTTGATCTCTCTCAGATCCTCAAATGTGGATGTTCCTTCCCAAGGATCACTCCTTTGTTTTCTCTCTTTATATTTTCTCTTTGACAACGCTGTGGCTTCAATTACTTCTCCTATGCCAGTGACTCCAAGATGAGTATTTCTGCCCAGACTCTCCTCTTCAAGTTCAAATCTTGTCTTGCAACTTCCTGGCAGAATTTTCCACTTGCTTTTCCCTCTGGCACCTCAAACTCGATACACCCCAAACATAAAAAAGCCTCATTGCAAATCTCCTGCCTGTGTTTCAGCACTATTTATTGAAAAGACTATTTTTTCCCTATTGAATTATCTTGTCGTCCTTATCACAAATCATCTGACTATAAATGTGAGAGTTTATTTATTTTTATTTATATAATTTATGGGGTACAATTGTGATTTCATTACATGCATAGATGGTGTAATGGCCTAGTCAGAACTTTCAGAGTATCCATCACCCAAATAACATACATTGTGCCCATTGAGTAATTTCTCATCCTCCATTCCCCTCCCACCCCAAATGTAAGGGTTTATTTCTGAACTCTTAATTCTATTCTATTGATCTATCTGTCTATCTTATGCCTGTATCACATTGTCTTGATTATTGTAGCCTTGTAGTAAGTTTTCAAATCGAGAAGTGTGGCCCTCCACCTTTGTTCTTTTTCAAAATTGTTTTGGCTATACCGGGTTTACATTTCCTTACATTTCCATATAACCATTAGGATCAGCTTGCCAAATTATGTAAAAAGGGCCCCTGAGATTTTGATATAGTGATTACACTGAATATGTTTTCATAGATTAATTTAGGATGTATTTCCACTTTAACTGAACTCCCTTTTTACATACATTGATATCAGTGACATTTCTTGTTATTTGCCTCACTAGATTTTTATAGATGTGGCTAAGTAATATGCTTCCCTTTTGAAAAATTATTAAATCAAATACTAAAGCAATTTTCTTTCTATTTTTTGTCCTAGAAACAACAAACTAATCTCTCAATGAAAAAAAAAAAGAAGCCTTTCTGCTTTGGTTCTTTTTCTTAAAATCAGCATTAAAAATATCGTACTCAAATTTAACCACATCCACCTAGTTCCCCAGCCAATGTTTTTAATTTAACTCTTTTAGGAAATACCGCCATCTTATGGAGCTTTGAGGTCTTGCTCCTTGTGGCCGCTGTTCTGTTGTACAGTACAGTGAACACAAACTGGGTGGCATTTCACTTGTCTAGCTGCCGTCTCCTGCCAGTTCACTGGAAATCTCTGCTGGGACTCTTACCAGGAAAAGTCTCCCCCTTCGGAACTTAGCTTCACTATACTCCCTTATACTGCATAAGACCGGTTCTGGGACGGTCTGGAGTGTATGGATAAAGGTGGGGGGAAGGGAGTCCTGGAAGTGGGAGTGGCCAATCTAAAGGACCTCCTACCCTAGGACATTTTTGAGGCCCCTCAGGGGGTGGGGTGGAAGTTTCAGGGCGCTGAGTCTTCTCCAGCCAGGTCCGCCTCCCCCTCCCCCATCACTTATGCCAATCCCTTAGTTCAGGAGTCTTCGCTCTTATAAAGTCTCCCTGAGCACAGGGTGAGGAACGTGGACCAGAGCCTGGGTGGAAAAGAAAACCAACCACTGCTACCCCCACTCCCTTCCAAGGTGAAACTAAAGAGAAACAGTCCAGTGTTTCCTCTTTGTCCCTAGGGCAGTAGTAGACACCCACATCCATGAAGGACTGTCAAGGTTTTGATCAGCCCAAGTAGACTCTATGACTGCAACCAATCAGGAAAGAGATTGTTAGGGAGTGTTTATTCTCCTGCAGTCAGCTCCCCGTCAGCACGCCCCCAGTAATGGCGTTCTAAATGGGAGGCAGTGGGAGTACAAATAGCCACACTGCCCACCGTCTCCCCTCTGCAACTCCGTTCAAGTATTTCCCCGGAGTAGGAGGAGTACTAGGATAAAAGTTTAAGTTTTACTTCCGGTGCCTCTATTCTATTTGTACCTTCCAGGCCTCGATCAAATGCCTCCTTCTCCAGGGCAGCCCTGCCTGGAGTCATCCCTGGTTCCTTGGCTCCTGTGGCATCACCACACCCTGCCCGGTAGTTACAGATAATACATTACATCGCCCTGAGTTACGCCCTGAGTTAGTAAGTAAAAGCCTGGGGCTTACGAGCGTGGGATTTGGACTCAGTGAGACCTGGGTTTGAGTCCTGAATTCCCACCTCTTCCTAGCTTTGGGATGGTGGGAAGATACTTTGCCTCTTTGAACGTGGGTTTCCTCATCTAGCAAATGTGGGTAACAGTGCCAACCATGGCTGAGAGTTGCTGTGAGAGTTCATCAGAGAATAAGCGCCTGGAAAGGGTAGTCCCTGTAGTCATACTTGTTATGGAAGGCAGGCACTGCGTTTTACTCACTTTTGCTTTCACGGTGCCCAATTCAGTGCTTTACACACAGGAAATGCTTGCTAAATGTTTACTATTATTGAATAAAGGTTGAAAGAGTTCATGTACTTTATGAACAGGGTTGGAGAGAGTGATAGTTTCACCAAATTGTCTCCCGAAATGGTCCAAGGAATGAAATATTTACAAGAAAAACTGAATAGAAGACCAAGACTTAGGGCTTGTCTTTCTTTACTTTTTAAAAAAATTGTGGTAAAATATACAGAATATAAAATTTGCCGTTTTAATCTTTTTTTTTTTTTTTTTTCAAAGACACCAGGTCTCACGGTGTTGCCCAGGTTGGAGTGCAGGTGCTATTCACAAGCACAATCCCACTACAGATCGGCACAGGATTTTTGACCTCTCTATTTCTGACTTGGGCTGATTCACCCCTCCTTGGCAACCTTATGGTCCCTGCTCCTGGGAGGTCACCATATTGATACTGAACTTAGTGTGGATACCTGATTGGCATAGGGCACTATAGCCCAGAACTCCTAGGCTCGAGCGATCCTCCTGCCTACGTCTCCTGAATAGCTGGGACTATAACCACGTACCACCGTGCCTCGCCATTTTAACTCTGTTTTGTGTACGATTCAGTGGCATTAAGCACATTCACATTGTTGTGCGATGTGATCTAGGGCTTGTCTTTCTTAAACCCAGAAGTTCTCTGGATGATGCCTAGGATATGGAAAAGGCACTTTAACACTTTTGCTAATCAAAGCATCATAAATCTTGCTTTTTTCCAGAGATAAAACATTTAAGATACTGTAGGTCTTCCCAGAGCTCTGCACATTTGAGTTAGCTTAATATAGTGCTGTGACTTAGAGCCAGACTTGCTAGTTTAAATCTTGGCTCTCCCACTGGCTCACTGTGTGACCTTGGGCAAATTACTTAACCTTTCTGTGCCTTAGTTTTCACATTTTAAAGCAGGGGTCATAGTAATTGTACTTATCTTAGAGGATTGTTGGTATAATAAAAGGAATAAATATTTGTGAATAGCCTGTGTCTAGCACACGGTAGTTGCGATGTAAATATTTGGTTTTGTTTTCATAATTAGAAATGATATCTTCAAGGTCTCTCTGCTGCATGATTGAATGTGCTGTGAGAGCAGACACTGTCAGTTTTGTCTATCATTATTTGGTTGAGTTCCTTGCAAATGCTTCCATATGGGATTATAGTTCATTATCTCCCCTTTTTTCATCTTTAAAACATTTTGTTTATTTGTACTTGAACTTAAGAAATGGTCAAGATGATTGACGACTATTTCATGAGATTTTTGGTTTTATTTTAAAGGTGAAGTGAGTTTGGGGAAGGAAATGGTTAGGAAAATAAATATTTCCCTTTTTGACTTACCAAGGGGACTGAGACCCAAAGAAAAGGGTGGAACACTTAGTGGCTTCCAGGAGTTCATGTCCAGGAGCCTTTGGCTTTACCTGGGAAAACCTTGTGTTCTACAGTGAGAAAGAAAGTTGTAAATTTGCCATTAGGGGACGCTGTTTGTCAGGGTTATCTTAATGCAGGAAAAAGGGAGGGAAAAAGGCAGATAGGCAGTGATGACATCAACCAGGAAATTAGTATCAGACCACAAGATCCAGTTTTCACGCAAACAGCCAGCAGGTCTTGAGCTCTCTTCCCGCGCAAAAGGATTCTAACTTCTCAAAAACTTTGTTTTCAGGCAGTTTCCTCCAGAACCTTCAGGGGGTTGGTGGAACTTGATCCGAAGGTAGGTAAGTAACACTCTCCCCCCTCCCCCCACCCTATGCTCTGATCTTTCCTTTGCTTTTTCTTAGAAACTTGTAAAAACTCATGTCAGCAATGGCGCTATTTTTGCCTGGATTTCTTTACCATGCCAGGGAAAAACGAAAGTTAATAAAAAACCAGGAAGGCTTCAACATAGCGTTTTACCACCAGAGATATGTTAGTCCACAGAGACTCCCTGTAGCTAGAGATCAGAATCTTCAAGAAACTTCAAGGCGAATGTCTGATGTGGTAGAATAGAAATGTATCTCCAAGAAACCACTCGCTTGACCTCAGGGCTATTAGCAGGGAAGACCCATGAATGATCCCATTAAAATCGGCATTTTTAAATTTCCTTTTTTCTAACAACACAAGTAATATATGCTCATTGCATAAAATCTGAGAAACTCGCATGGGAGCCCCCCAAATTTGTATTATCTATATATTTCTTTTTCTTTATTTATTTAAAAATTTTTTAAAAAATTCTTTTTTTTGAGAGACAGTCTTCCCGCCTGAGCCTCCCAAAATGTCGGGATTATAGGCATGGGGGGCACATGGCCTGTTTTATCTATGGTTATACCACCTCAATATAACCATTCTTTGTTCTTGAGATTTTGATTTTTGTTACGTGTTCCTTCCTTTAGAAATATATTCCTATTTCTAAACATAGCCAAGTCTTGCATAATAAATATATACCTCAAGTCCTTGTAGAATAAATAACATTACAAGGAAAATTTTATCAGTGCATTGTTCCTTTGATTAAAATGAAATTTGGTGTAGAGAACACTGTAGTTTGTGAACTGGTCTGTTGGAAACGTTAGCTTATGCAATTTGTAACTTCCTACACTGATTTGAACGCTCTTGTCTGAAACCAGCCTTTCCTTCTGGGTCTCTGGTTAGGGCTTCCCCTTCTGTGAGATGCAGGCCTGCGCTGTCACCAGGCACAGTGTGAAGTTACGGATGTAACAAACATCCCTTATGGTACTGTGACTGAGGTCAAGCTTGTACCACTTGCTGCCGGACAGCCAGTAAGTCCAGAGACAAGGTGTTGGGGCAAGGAAAGGACTTTTATTTCGAGATCCAGCAAACCGAGAACATGGTGGACTAATGTCCCAAAGAACCACCATAAGTTAGTATGAACTTTAGGTTCCTTTTCGTCTTAAGGGAAGGGGAGGTTGGGTTTCAAGAGGTGACCAAGGACAGCAGACAACTGACATCAGTCAGCAAGGGCTGAGGCGGTTGTAAAACTTCTTTGCTCTTGGTCAGTTAACTTTGGAGGACGAGGGACAGGATATTTCTACTTGTGTGTGTACTATACTTTTTTTTTTTTTTTTTATCTCCCCAGAAATTAGTTTTAGAAAAGGCTTGGTTGTCACCTTTCTTTTAGCCTCTATGCAGAGCTAAGCAGAAGCTTTTGACCTAGAGGACGTTACCGCAGGGGGCCAGTGGCAAAATGGAGGTAGTTGTGTTAAGCTCCCTTCCGCTGCTACAGTTTCCCCACTGTCAAAGGTTCATTCCACAATCTTGTGGAATTGGGGCAGGGGCGTCTCAGCACTGGCTAATTCCTGCTGGGCGAGGTGGACAAGGGGCAACTGTGGAATGGAACCATTTGACCTGACTAAGGAAATATTTCCTAGTGCCCTTGTTTGGAGGAACAATCGTAGGCATCTCCTTTTTTGTTTTGTCGCTTGTGGTCAGACCCATACAGCTCTTGGTTGCAGAATATATAATATAATAAGTTTTGCTAGTGTGTATAGCATCGTAACCAAAAGAAGAACAGTGAAGCCTAATTTATGAATGTGTCCCAGAAGTCACCAGATTGCACCTGGAATCCAGGAGAATAGGTCTGTAAACCAGTCTCCAAGAGTGTCTAGTCTTAAACCTGTTTGGTGTTCTAAGGTTTGTTTGAGCCAGGTAGCCTGTTGCCTAATTTGGTCAATATGCATCTTTTGTCTCTTTCAGAGGAGGAATTAATATAAGTGCAACAGGTGGTGTTAGCCACCATACAGACTCCTCTTTGTTCTGCAAGCATACAGTCTAGGACAATGTGGTTATCAAGCACTACTTTAGCAAGGGAGTCAAATGATTTTCATGGACTAGCAGGAGCGAGGGCAGTTTTATTAGCAGTAACATTTAAAGTTTTAGGTAAGTTTGTCAGTACATGTTGATGAGCAGGGAGGACGGAGTAGCCAAAGAAATATTTATCTCTATCTGGAATTTTCCCCAGGAGGTCACTAGCCACTCTGGTAAATAATTTTAGGGAACTGGTCCAGTGGGCAACCTCCAACCTGTTATGGACAGAAAAGGGGGTCACTGTGAGTCCCCTGAGGCATAATCTCTGAAGAATGTTAGGCAGAGCGAGGCCCATCGGCCTTTGTTCCAACTGCGTACAAAAATGTATCTCTGGGGGGCACACAGCCCTCTAGAGGGTCTCGTTTGTACCCAACTCATACTGAAATGATAATCATCCTGATTTATTTTTTGGTTTATTGACCTCTTAGTTCTGGTTCTAGTATAGTTCATGGATTAGGAGGGATCCCCTTAGCTGTATCATTTTCTGTGGTGGCACATCTAAAAACACACAGAGGGCTTAGTCTGAGATAGGTCAGATACAATTTTTACTCTGTATAGGACTTGGGAAGCAGTGAACGGGAATAGACAGAGAAGCCTTTCGTGCCAGTTTGGTGCTAATAACTGAGTAGGTTGCACCCATGTCCATTAAAAGGTCGGTTTGTTCCCCCTGCCAAAGGTACCCAGGGCTCCTGCGGGGGAATCCGAATGGGGTGTGGAGCCTCCACTCGCATGTTGTCAATGCAGTAACTGAGTGCTTTTATCTATAGTTTTGGAGCAGCACCTTAATCCTTGCCTGGCATGGTCTTAGGTTCTATTTAAAATTTGGTATCTTACTGTCACAGAGTCTGTTCTATCAATGTTATGATCTCTATCTTAACATTAATGTTAAACTCCAAAAGGGAGGGAGTATAATGAGGCACGTCTGACCTCACTTGCCTTCGTGGCCAGGAATTCAGGTTTAAGGTTTTTCTGGGGTCCCCTTGGCCAAGAGGGGGTTTGTTCACTTGGTTGGGGGCCTTAGAATTTTATTTTAGTTTACAATTCCCCATTTTGGCCAAGATTTGCCAGAGGCAGCGTCAGTGGCCACACTTTTATTTTGTCCCATCATTGCGAGGGTGGTGTGACCACCTGCCCAGGTCCATCCAGGCCCTCAGTGGGATGCCTGTGGCTAAGGGACTTAGACCAAAGGCTTACAGCCAATTAAATATTTTGGACCAGGCTGGGCGCGGTGGCTCACGCCTGTAATCCTAGCTCTCTGGGAGGCCGAGGCGGGCGGATTGTTTGAGCTCAGGAGTTTGAAACCAGCCTGAGCAAGAGCGAGACCCCGTCTCTACTAAAATTAGAAAGAAATTAATTGGACAACTAAAAATATATAGAAAAAATTAGGCAGGCATGGTGGCGCATGCCTGTAGTCCCAGCTACTCGGGAGGCTGAGTCAGGAGGATTGCTTGAGCCCAGGAGTTTGAGGTTGCTGTGAGCTAGGATGATGCCACAGCACGCTACTTCAGGCAACACAGTGAGACTCTGTCTCAAAGAAAAAAAAAAAAAAAAAAATTTTGGACCAGATGGGAATGGAGGTAGATAGACATTCATCAATGCTTTGAAACCTTTTAGGCAACAGAAGAATGAAAATCAAAATACCAAAGGCAAGGTAACAAAATTAACTTATCTATAAACATTGAGTTACTATAATCCTGGCTTTAGCTGTAGACTTGTAGCAATTTGCAAAATAAAACATAAGCATTTTGTTAAAGCCATTTGAGCCTAAAGGTGGCTGATAAGTTTTTATCCTAGTTTTACTTGTAAACCCCATAACTGGGAACAACAATAAAGAAGGCTCTGTCGTCATGTATTTTGATTGCCCCTTAGTAATTCTCTTTTAAGTGTTTGGGAAGCAGGAAAATTTTTATGGTTGGGATGGACAGAAAGGAGGCAAAGTCCCCCAGTTTGCCAGCTGTTTAGGCGTTTGTGTGTAGGTCCTTGATTTGGAGGGTCTGGACTAATTTTATTCCTCAAAATTGGCCCTTACCATTTCCACCTCCCACCTCTTCCACAACAGTCCGTAGGTCCAGAGGGAGGATGTCTGTACAGTTTTAGCAGCAGGGCATTGGTGATGGAGAACAGACTGGGCCCGTGGGATTGAGTAGTTTTCAAATTCCGGAGATACCAGGTAAACTCTGCTATTTACTTAATCTTTCTTGACTCTGGAAAAGAAAGCATAAAGAAATAGTAATGTTTTAAGCAAAAAGTCATAAAAGAATAATTTTAGTCCTCTATCATTTCGGTCCCATGTAATTAATTTTTGTTTTGCTAGATATTGGGTTAGCAATCCTTATGAATGCATGAGCTTTTTAATTAGAGACCTTTTTACCTAGTCCAATCAGAAACATGTATTCAAGAGTACTTATCAGTCTTTTCTATGAATTTTTTTTGAAGTAGACATTATAAATTGCTTTTTGAGAAACACCAAAGTAAAACAACAATTGTCTGTGGATAACAAAAATCTTAAAATAGTCGTGGTGAAAGACACAAAGGAAATTTGATTATTTCTGTGGCATATAACACTTTAGCATAATAATCATAATTATTATTGATAACATATACCAAGATATATCATATTTTTAGGAATCTCATACAATTTTGGAACACATATTAATAACATGTTTAGATAACTGTAACTCAAGGAAAGTTAAATACCATTTCAAATTTGGCAATGTTTTCCCTATAATTTTAACATACCAAACAAGCCTTCTATGTTTTTCTTGGACTTTTAGAGGCCCTAACATCAAAAGTTAGTTTGAAGTAATTTGAAATTTTTAATATTAGAAAGCTTGTCAAATATTGAAAGTTTAAAACATTTGTTCAAAATAAAATCACAAGTCACTGTAAAATAATGATCGTTTATTTAACCAAGAGTGATAGTCATCAAGAGACTTTAATGTACGGGAAGTCACAGAGATGCAAAACCTTACCCCTTTTAAAGTTTAGTTTTCCTAGTTAGTCATAAATCTAATAAAGACAAGACAGGAATTACCTTGATAAAGCATAAAATCTTTGTTTCTTTTAAGCCAGTTACCCAAAAGGTAAAGAAAAACCTTCTGTAACTTGTTTCTTTTTCATGGGAAGCTCCTTTAGACGACTTGAAAGTTAAACCTGATAAGAAAGGGTACTTGAATTAGCCATACACAGCATGAGTGTATGTAGGGTCATGAGTGTACAGTACATTATAAAGGAATGTGAATAAGAAAAACTAGTACTTTGAGTAGGAGAACAAATGACTCAGCAACAGCTCGAGAAGTTTTCTGACCATATTAAATAATTTAGACATATCAAGAAAAGCCAAGTGTAGAATTAAGTCATACTGAAGGAAAACATTGTTTTTCTAAACCTTTAAAATAAAACATTTTAGCATCAGGCCATAACGACAGACTTAGGAGCACATGGGAGAGAATTTACAGGAGCTGATGAAAAAGTCGAAGGTGAGAATTACCACCCTAGGCCTTCTCAAGGGGAAAAAAAGCTGAAATCAGCAAGGCAAAGAAGAAGTTGAACTTTGGACGTACAAGTCTGAGAAGTTTAAAAAAAAAAAAAAGAACAATGGTGATCTAGCACCTCTTGTGTTATCCTGGATAGAGCTGGAGCCCATTCTACTAAGTGAAGTATCACAAGAATGGAAAAACAAGTACCACATGTACTCATCATCAAATCGGTATTAGCTGACCAACACTTATGTGCACATATAGTAGTAACATTCATCAAGTGTCAGGCAGGTAGGGGAGGGGAGGAGGGGATGGGTACATCCACACCTAATGGGTGCGCTGTGCACCATCTGGGGTATGGACACGCTTGAAGTTCTGACTTGGATGGCGCAAAGGCAACATATGTAACCTGAACATTTGTACTCTCTTAATATGCTGAAATAAAAATAATAATAAGAAAGAAAGAAAAGAAATGCGAAAGAAGCCTGATCTTAACAACAACAACAAAAAAGGCAAT